CCCCCCCAAAAAACCAAACCAACCCCCCCCCCCCGCCCCGCCAAAATAAATAAATAAATAAATCAGGCATGGAAGGGCTAATCTTACCCTCATCAAAACTCAACACCTTTACTGATTTCAGTATACTACAAACCGGACCCTAAGGCCTAGATTCTCAGCTGTACTCACATATATCAGCTAAAGGAAATGGCCTTTGATTTTCACTTTAGCCTGAGATAATGGAAAAATGAATTGTTGCTGGGATTTTTATCTGAACACTGACAACACCAGTTCCACCACTCAGTAAACATTCTGAATCTACTCCAGTGCCAACTATGCAATTGTGGAATAATAATACATACAAAAGAACTAACTTTCACCATCAACTCAATTATGCTATAAACTCAGGACTAGGCAACAAGACAACATTACCTTCAACTGACTTGTAGTTTTACAACATGCTGAAATGTTTTCTATTTCTTTTTTTTCCAGTTCTTTGTTCATATGTGCTCTATATGGATCTAGTTAAAAAAAAACAAGCAGCATTATTAATAAAACTTGAATAACATTTCTGAATGGGTTTTGCATGTTGAGTCTGATATGATTTTTAAAGCCACACAAAGCAAGTCGCTAGGAAGTAACAGACATTCTATTTGTACACAATATAAAATATTCTGTACATGAACTAAATAAAAATGCCACTATTGTATAAACAAAAAATCTTCCAAACAAAAAACCCCCCAAAAACCAAAACAAGTGTAAACAAAGTTACAACATTTGATATAAGGTAAGGGAGACTATTACAAGTGTGTAGTAATTTATCTTAGAGTTTCATAGCAATGCCCATCATTTAATATCTCAGTTCCTTGCATATGAAATCAGTTGCCAATAGGATCGTTCTTAATGAGCTCATTTGCCTTTCAAATCTCTAAAAAAAAGTCTCTGGTATATGTGCAGTGCTTTTGGCTGATGCTGTGACTCCTGTTTGGGTTATGGTGGAAAAAAATTAATCAAATGAGATTTTTTCAAGATTTCCCTAGAGGTGGATAGACAAGTCAGAGTCAATCTCCCTGCAAAGAACTCCAGGACTTCAAGGAGCCAATTTTCATTTAAATTAAGCAAAGAATTGCAAAGCATAGCAAGTAGTATCTTCCAAATGATGCAACTGAACAGGATATCAATAATAATATAGTACAGCCTCTGTTTTCCAGCTGAACTTGTTCTGATAAGATACTGCATTTTCACCTGTGAAGAATACTACAAGCTAACACATAATACATAATATTAAACCCATACCAGTCAAAATATTAATGCACAGTAAAACTGAAAGACTAATTTATTGCTCAATATCCATAAAATTATTTTTTCTAACCCAGATACAAATATAGTACTGAACCCAATGAAGCTTAAAAAGAGAATAGTGTTACACAATAACAATGGTTACCAGTTAGTAAAACTAAGTCACTATTCAGAGAACTGAGGGTTTGGCTAACTGAGCATGTCCTATAGATTTCTTTCCTCCATTACTGGTTTTACAGACTCCAGAACTAGATGGTCACAGCGGTGGCATATGATGTCACATATCCAGGACCATTCACTACCTCGTGATGAGAGCAGAACAGAAATTTGTTTCCTGCCAGCATGCATCCATATCTGCTGCTGTTCTAGAAACTCCCATTTCTCCTCTTTGACTACAGACTATAGGTGCAAACAAGCACTCAGAAGACCTGGCTCAGGTTTAGACAGCTTGGTTTAAGCCACCTAAACCCAAGTCAGTATTGCCATGCGCAAACATCTGTGCAGGCAGCTGGAAGCAGGTAAGTCCGGTGGGAGGATGGGAGGGGTGGTAAAAACAGCTCAACTCTGAAGCTTCAGAGAATGGTTGGGCTTTCTCAGCCTCTGAGCTGTTTTGGGGACCCATCCAAGCATTCACTAGGCCAAGTTAACCCTTGCTAGCTCAGGTTAAACCCAGGCCAATCTAAAGGTGGCTCTCATGTGACGAGAGCTAGCTTTAGACTTTTAGGGTGACCTAAGCCTTGTGAATGTTTGCACACCCAGGCAATTCTCTCTCTAAGCTCAGTTAGGATGATCAAAACGTAATGCTTGTATCCATCCAACATGTGCCTCATTTTACATCTGAAAAACAGGGGGTTCCTGTTAAAATGCAAAGCAATGAGCACAAGCAATACTGCTGTGATAACATTTCATTCTTGTTAGTCATTATCAGGGATCTGGGTTTTCCATTTCCCATGGAAAAATGGAGTAAACCGCATATTTTACCTTCTACCAGAGGCAAACTCAGATTTTTCGTTTTACAAGAGATACCCACAGATTCTGCTGTTTTGCAATGAGCTCCATGCAGGCTGGCAGAGTTCCAGCCTGCAGGGAGCTGGGAGGGAGCGGGAGGAAGGCAGAGACGGGGCGCCAGGTGCACAGACATGCACGTGGCCCCAGGAAGACTGCAGAGCAGCTCCAGCAGGTAAGTGGAGGAGAGAGGGAGCTGGGCAGGGCTGAGGCTGCTACCCAGCCAGGTGGGGCTTGGGGCCTGGGGCTGCAATGCACAGCTGCAGAGACCCAGTAGGGAGCAGGATAGGGTCATGAGTGGTTTGTCCAGGGGAGGGGGAGGGCAGCACCCCCCCACCACATGCACTCCTGGGGGCAGAGGGGACCCATGCCCCCCAGATCTGTACCCAGGGCAGGTGCAAGCCACAGGCTCCTGCTCTGCTTCCCTCCCCCAGGATCACTGGAGCCACACGGGGGAGGGAAGCAGGGCGGCAGGGGACAGTGGAGCTGCACGGAAAAGCTGTTAGCTGCTGTTCCTTACTGCCCTGCTTTCCTCCCCTGAGGCCTCTGGAGCCCAGTGGACACAACCCGGTGCAGAAGGCAAAGTGACTTGATTACAGTTAATACCTCCCCAAGTGGAAAACAGAAATTCTGTAGGAGTGCTTTCTCTGGCAGACAAATATATAAAAATGATTTAATGGTTGGGAATTGAAACTAGACAAATCAAGACTTGAAACAAAGTGAAGGTTTGTTTGGGTTTTATCTTTAAAAAACCAGTAAGAGTTAGTTAGGGCTGTGTGAAATGGCGCCATTTCATTTCAACAGAACAGCATTTTGTTTCAAAACCGCTGTTCTGTTTAATTTTGCTGTTTTAACGTTTCGCTCATAAGCTATAATGGGGAAGCTCAAAACAGCCTATAACTTTGTCATTTCTGGCCCGATTTGGAAGAAACGTGCAGGAATGGTAGCCCCTTCTGAGGGCATGAGGCATGCCAAGTTTCAAGGAGGTAGGTGCAGGGGCTTGGGGGAAAACTGCACCTCAAGCTGCTGAGAAGCAAAACTCATGACATGGGTGACACAGTGTGTGTTAAGGCACAGTAGGGTGAAAACTGCAGGCTTGCTAGCTCCTGCGGAGGCCATAAAACCTGCCAGCTGTCAAGGAGATTGGTGCAGGGGCTTCTGAGTTCTTGGGCCCTGCACGGCAAAACTCGTAACATGGGTGGCTGACTGTGTGTGTGTGTGTGTGTGTGTGTGTGTGTGTGTGTGTGTGT